AACCCCAAGACCCTCCCTGTGGAGCGCATCCTTCCAGCCCTGTCCAAGGACAAGGAGGAGGAGATCCGGAAAATCCTTCGCAACAACCTGCAGAAAACCAGGCAGAGGGTAGGGTGTCCCCTGGCACCATGCATGCTCCATTTTGCTTCCCCGGGGGTGGCCAGGACCACTTCCAACCAGAAGCCCTCAGGGCCAGCCCTGGTGCCCCTTGCGTTCTGGGTCTGGCTCTCCCTCCCCAGGTTTTTCCTCCTGGGATGGCACAAGGATAGTGTTGAGGGGGAGGCTGGCTCCATCAGTGGCTGAGCCCAGGATTTAAACCCTTGCTGGGCCAAGATGGGTCAAGATCAGGCATCCCATGGTAGCACACAAGGGACAAGCCACCAGCTTGGCTGGGCGAGCTCTGCCCACTGGTGGCTGTTTCATCCAAGGGAAGTGGTGCAGTGACCTTCCTTTGCCTTCTGCGTGTTTTTTTTTTAACCCATCTCCTTTTCTTGGGGCCTTTTCCCAGTTGCGATCCTACAACCGGCACACGCTTGTGGCCGACCCCTATGAGGAAGCCTGGAACCAGATGCTCCTGCGGAGGCAGAAGGCCCGGCAGCTGGAACAGAAGGTGTCAAGGGGATGCTGGAGCAGGGATGCTGCTGCAGGCTGGGGAGGACAGGGAGGGCGAGGGGGGCTTCCCAGCCTGGGAAGGACATTGGGGTCCTGCATGTGGAGGGGGCTGAGGTTCAGATTTCAGTGGAGGACCTCAAGACATGGGGGTCCCTGCCCTCTGATCGCCCCAGCATGAGGGCAGGCTCCGAGCAAGTCCCTGCAGCATGGCTGGGAGGATGCATGCACGTCCTCTGCATCCCGCTGCTGCCTCATGCTCATCCCCACGGCTTGGGGTCAATTCCCTGCCTCCCCTTCCCCATTTATCCTGGCCACTCCGATGGAGACGGTCCCTGTGCTCTGATTCCAGATGAACAACTACCTGACAGTGCCGGCTCACAAGCTCGATTCTCCCACCATGTCCCGGGCTCGCATAGGCTCAGGTAGGTGGGACTGAGCTGCTGGGGGAGCGCCGCTGCCGGCACCTCGCTGGGCATCACTTTGGTGCTGATGCACTTGGAGGTTGCGTTGTCCTGCACCCCCTCAGCTCCTCTGCCAGCTCCCCAGCCCCAATCATCCCCGTCCCGCTCCCCTGTGCAGCCAAGCCCCAGGGGTTCACTGTTCTCAAGCCCAAGCTCCACTGCATGCAGCCCAGGCACCCGGTGGGTTCTGCCTGAGCAGAAGCACCCGGCTGACTTCCCAGCATGGTTCCCACCAGGAACTGAGCTCAGCCGGTCGGTAGATCTGTCTGGAGCTCAACTCACTCCGTCCCCGCAGCCATGTTTCTGCAGGGGAGAGGACCAGGAGCGCTCAGCCTGCTCCTGGACTCCCAGCTTCTCCAGCACACATTTGCTCTGCCATCTTTGGTTCCTCCTGTCCTGTGTGTCCTTTCCTGCTTTGGGGACAGTGTGACAGGGTGTGACGCTGCTGCTAGCGCCTGCGGAGCCGGCAGTTAATCAGCAGAGGGCAGCTTCGCCCTTTGCAAACGGCGCAGACCTGGGAAGCAGGACTGGGCTGTCTGGAGGAGCTCAAAAAAAGGAGATCAAAAAAAAGACGAGACGCTGCCTGACCCCTCTCTGCCTCCCCAGACCCCCTGGCCTACGAACCCAAGGCGGACTCGGAGAACCTGCCCATCATCACCATCGACCCGGCCTCCCCGCAGTCCCCGGAGTCTGTGGACCTGATGAACGAGGAGCCCAAGGGCTGCGGCGGCCTCCCGCCCTCGCCTGAGGAGGACGAGGAGGGGCTGGTGATGCGGGTGAAGGAGCCTTCCTCCCCGGGTACCGACGACGTCTTCACCCCGGGGACTGGCGACAGCCCCAGCAACCAACGGATGCTGCGATGCCTGAGCGACCCAGGGCCTCGGCCGGAGCCGGAGGAGGGGGAACCCTTTATCCCCAAGGGGCAGTAGTAACTGACGCACGAAACCTCACACCGTGCTCCGTACGGTGTTTCTCTCTCTTCATTTGTTCTTCTTTCTTTGCTCTCCTTTTTGGTTTCCTCTGTCACTACACACCGGGTTCGGGAAGGGGAGACTGTCCTGGATGGACTGGGATTGCCAGGACAGCTCTGCCCAGCAAGCCCTGGGCTGGCCCCAAGGAGCAGGGAGGGAGCCCCTGGGACGCACCGGGCTCCTCGGCCGCCGTGGCCTGGGGGTGACAGACGATTTACTGCCCGGCACTGGGATTTGGGATTTGCAGGTGCCTCGCAGAGGCTGCCCACCCGCTCAGGACCTACGAGCAGCTCCTCAGGGTGGCTGCAGCCAGTGCCGGGTGGGCTCTGGCTGGGGAGCTGGGGGTATCTGCGGAGGCTGGACGTGGCACAGCTTTGCCTCCGCTTTTACCTGCCCCCCCGCCTTGCTCCCAAGCAGAGGGATGGAAAGATGGGAGCTGGGCTCTGCAGCAGGGCTGGTGCCCCCCCCGCCTCTCCCGGCACGCTCCCAGGGACCTCGGGCTCATGCTGCTGCTCCCGGCCTTGGCCACTTCCCCCGTGGGGCCGGCTGCCGCCTGGGAACCTCTCCTCCGGCCCTGCATTTCACACCAGGTCTTGCTAAATAAATATCCTATAGCCATGCAAGGGGGGAGCCGGGTCCCCCCTCGCTTTGAGCAGCCCCGCAAGGTCGGGCCTCTCTGTCCCTCCTGGAAACGCTGTCACCCGTCCCCGCAGGGACCCTCTGCCAGCCTCGGCCCCTCGCCCTGCATCTGCCCGGCAGCACGGCAGCGGCACCGGCTGCTCCTTAACCAAAGACGGCGTCCGGGCTCCCCGGGCACGGGGCTGGGGCGTGCAGGGGGCTGCATCTGCTACGTGTTGGGGGGGGATTGGTTTTCTCTCCCTGCAACTGAGAGGAGCTGGGGAAGAGCCAGAAGCCAGCTCGTCTGGTGTGGGGACATGTTGGGGCTGGGAGGTTGGCAGGAGGGAGACAGTCTCCCCTCCGAGGGGGACAGCTGGGGGTGTCAGGGGTCCTGAGTTTGGAAGGACCCGACTTTCCCCAAGGTTTGGCTGGGAGGGAGCACTGGGTGTTTAGGTGATTGCAGCCCTCCCCCGGGCTCAGGGTGTCCTGCATCGTGCTCGAGTGTGTCACCTCGTCCCCCACACGCCACCCGGCTCCCGCCACGTGCCACCCTTCGCCATGGGTGCTGCCTCCCCCGCGCCCCGGGGTGCTCGTCACCCCCTCCCCGGGGAGCCCGGGCTGCTTCCCCCTCCCCGTGCCGTGCCTTGCCACGCGTCCCCTCTGCCCCGCTGCCTTGGTGGGCGCCCATCCCATGCGCCCACCCGCTCCACGTCCCAACCGGGACCCCGGGGGACCAGCGCCCGCGCAGCTTCGTCATGCCGGGGCGAGAGCCCACGTCGCTGCCTGCGCCTGCCTGCCTGCCCTGCTCTGTCTCCAGGAGGAAAAAAGCAATGAAAATTCTCTTGTATAAAAAGGAAAGAAAAAAACAACCAAACCCACATGTAAAGAGAATCTTGGTTTTTATCATGGATATTCTAATAAATTAATGTTAATTTTTACTGGGGGGGGTTTCTGGCTGTTTGGGCTCTTACTGCTGCTGTGGAATCGCATCTGTCCCAGATGAAGGAGGTGGCTGCGAGACCTCGTCCCCATCGCTGTCAGGATGGAGGGTTTGTCCCTCGCATTC